CTTGATAGAAAGAATTCAAGCCTCAGAGAAGTCTAATTCTGCTTTTCCATATACAGTTTTTAACATATAATATGTGGAGAATTTTGAGGAATACTTAGAGCTGGAATTGAGTCAAGATAATTTAGACATGTTAGATATTACCTTCAATATTCTCGAACACTACATCTTCCATAAAACAGAAATTTATAGGTCAGAAAAACACAATTAGGCACCTGGACTTATTTCACTTGAATAATAATCTTGATACCGAACACTAGCATTCCAACGATATTTTAAAATAAAAGATAAATGACAATTTTACTGTAAAAACACAGTGTGTTTCCAGAGTAAATTAATTCAAAAGAATTAATAAGGTTGTTTTTGAAGTGTAGAATTTTATTAAATCTTTTAAACTTCAAATGAAGAGATTTTCCATTTGTTTCCAGACACTAATCCATGTGGCACTCTTCTTACTGCTGCATCTCTTGATAGTAACAATCCGTGGTTTGCAAACAGCCTTTTCTTCAGGCATAAGATTCAAATCTTGGTTTGCATTTCTTTGAATGAAGGGTTATTTGGACTCATTCAGCAGTGCTCAGGGTTTACTTCTGGCTCTCCGCTTGTGGTGTGGCTCTGGGAACCCTGGATGGGAATTTGAATAGGGGCGTCAGCTTCATGCAAGGCAAGCTCTTAATGCCTGTACTATCTCTCTGGCCCTGTGATTAGATTTGTTTTGTTTTGTTTTTGAGCTACAGCCAGCAATGCTCAGAGATAACTCCAGGGTTCACACTCAGAAAAGACTCCTGGCAAGGCTCAGGGGACCATACAAGATGCTGGGAATCAAACCCTGGTTGGCCTCATCCAATGCAAGCACCCTACTCACTGTACTATTTCTCTAGCTTCATGCGATTACATTTTTAATATTTACAACTAGTATGAAAGTGTACATCAGAAAATAATTTTAAAACAATCAAATTATGATTCTTATAAATATGGAATTGACATAGGGCCAAGTTTCAACTTATTAAATATTCTAGGTTATTTACAGAAGTTGTTTCTGTCCCACAGTTCAAAAAATAAAAACCTATTAACTTACTGGACTGGGATATAAAACCCAACATGTAATTTCAAAATTGGACTTCAGTCCAGTGTGAAGTAGCAAAAATCAAACTCAAGTAAATTTCTCTAGGGAATTAATAATCCTTGAATGGACTTTTTTGTTTAAGTTATAACATCGAAAGGGCATGCTATGCTTTTTTTTTGATTTCCAAGTATAGTAATTTTTTTAGCAATATAGTACTTGACTACTACAAATACTTGACTGACATAGGTAGAGATTGATGTGTTCTTTAATTCCTCACCCAATTTTGTCCATCAAGAAGGACATTGGAGGAACCCTGTGCTTACAGTATGATGTCCAATCTGTCATATCTTTCTGTTCTTATTTATTGCCAATTTAAAATGGTGTCATTTCTTGGTGACCCAGGCCTATGTTACCTAGATCCATGTTGCCCACTTACGTGCTGCCCACATCTTCCCTCTTGAGATGTACCTTCAATACTTCAACGTTGCAATGTGTACTGGCTCTCCACTTAGAAACCCTTGTTCTCTCTTGAGCATGAATCTTAATGGACCTTTCTCCTTCCATCTTTTTACTTAACCAAAAAAAATTGTTACACATTATACTAAAAAAATTTTTTAAATGGCATTTTTAGGAGGCTTAAAGATCTTTTTATTATTACAGAATCTGATGTGTGTTCTCTAGTCTTGTAAATATGGCTTGACAATTTTTTCATAACAGTCTGTAATTTTGGATTTGGGGGGGCAGGTCTGGGGTGTGCACAGGATGTGCTCCTGATTCTTTGCTCAGTATCACTCCAAGAAGTGCTCAGGGGACCAAATGCAGTGCTGGTGATCGAACTGGGGTCTGCATATACAAGACAAGCTCCTAAATATATGTATTGTTTCTCAGGTCCTAATGCTTTGGATTTTGATGATATAATAAAATACTCTGAGTGTCTATTGATGATCTTATTTCAAATATGTGGTCACAGTTTTCATAAATCATTGCAGTAGCTCTGAATTTTTTAAACATTTTTCTATTTATACTATATCTCTAGGTTGTCTACTTTTCTCTCCTTTCTCTCTTTCTCATTCACTTGCTCTTGCTCTTTCTCAAGTTACTTAGGGTTGGTTTTAAAGTTTATTAGGAAAGAATAAGGCAGAGTTAAGAATTAGTATTTTTATATTACTGAGTCAAATTCCTTCTGAATATCTTGCCAAATACCTGAGCATTGCAATTTCCTAAATTGTGGGAAAATAAAGTATCCCTGACTCTGTGTGTACCAGATATTATTTCTCTTAATCTTTTTAGATTGTCTGCCCCACTTCAACTCTACCCTGACCCCATGTTCTTTGCTCTTTTTTTCTATAAATGATAGCTAATGACTTAATTTCTCCAGATTGTCAGCTCCATATCCTCATTTCGTGATTTCTCAACTTTTTCTTATGTTCTCCATTCCTATGCTCCAGCACAAAATTCGAACTTTGTTTCTTCCCTCTTAATGATTATGTTCTAATGATGTCTAATGCCCAATGTTTTCAAAATAGATGATTGCTTTTCTTTAGTTATTTTTTGTCATGTAATTCCAGAAAATAAATTTAGTATTTGTAATTCCATTGTGTTGAAAATGGACTTCTACAATTCTCAGAATTTAATCTTGGAATTTCTAAAGATTATAGGCAACTGAGTTTTTGGTGGAAGAAGCATTGTGCAAATACCAGACAATACTGGGAAAAAATTTCTGCTGCTTGTTAGATTGATTCAAATTATTCTCATTCGATATGTTTTATATTTAGCATTTCATGACATTTTACTTTGTGTTATATTTCTTATTATAATGTATGCATATTATAATTCTGATAGATAACATATATGCTAATTAGATTTTGTGGACATACCATATGTTTTTTATTCTTCACACACAGTCATCTCTCTTTCTAAAAGTACACTCAGAATCTGCGATTACTTTACTAACAATTAATTTAAACCTTACACATTTATAATGTGTATTATAGATAAAAATCTAAGACAAATGATGTAGCTGTAGCTTTTAGTTTCATGTCAATTTTGGTTTCAGTTGTTTCCAACACAATCAAGTGTCAGATGTAAGGTCTTCACTTCTCATGAGTTCAGTTCTCCCACATCTAAAAGAATAGTCCAAGCCTATATGAATTATGCTTCGTGAAACTCCCAGGCATGCTTTGACTTTAAATTTTGTGGTACTTTATTCTCAGCACCACAAAGTATTTCATTGAAATACTTCTCAATTAAAGTATCAATTCATATGTATATGATATATGTATTGAGCACTTTCAACCTGCTTCATGAATGCAGTAGCGCAAAAAGAAAGTTGTTTACTTTCTATGTGTTGAGGGGATGGTTGGGGGACAGTTGGGTAACACTCAGAGAAGCTTAAGGTTATTCCTGGCTCTGTTTCCAGAGATCACACCTGATGGTGTTCAGTGGCTGAGGTGGGGAATTTGGGGGACGTGACATATGTAGTGCCGAGAATCAAATTGAAGTCAGCACATGCAAGTGACGTAACCCCTGTAGTTTTACCCCAAAGATTGTTTTTTGTAGAGCAAACATTTTTTCTGTAATATTTGGTCTCAAATGACTCTTATATAATAATATCTATGAAGTTTTTTGTCGATTGTCTTCTTGCATTGGTGAGTGTAAAATACTCCTTTTTCTTTCCTCTAGTTCTCTGTATCATCCCCATCTTTATTCAATAAATGGTAGGAAAAAGAATTTAAAGAGCAATTATGTTATACTGTTACTTTTTCGTTTTTTTGGGCCACACTCAGTGGTGCTCAGGGGTTACTGCAGCTCTGCACTTCCCTGCTGGACTGAAGGTAACTTTTGAGATGCTGGGCATCAAAGCCAGGTCTGCTGTGTGCAAGGCAAGCATCCTACCTGTTGCACTATGTCTCTGATCTCAACATACTCTTACTTTAGAAAAAACAACTTGGGAGAAAAACTATTCCAAAGTAGTCATACTATATTCTAAATAAATTGCTTTTGGAATTATTTAAACTATCTCTTTTCTTCGTTAGCTTGAAAAATCTATACTTGACTATAAAGTTTCTTATTATGATTGCTAAAATACAAGACAATTAATTTAAACCTTACACATTGCATTAAAATATAGTCTTATTCCTTTTCTCTCTATGTAACTGTTTTATATAAAATAGTAAATTCTATTTTGGTTTAATAATTTTAAATTAGTAGGTAGTTTTAATTGAGATATTTTGATTTAATCACTTTAAATTAGACAGTTTGAGTTCAGATATTTGTGCAGTGATATGATAATGCTGTTTATGTTCATACATTTTATTTAAAATAAAATTTCCTTGCATCTTCATTTTTTGTTGTGATGAAAAAATAAACTACATTAAATTTTAGACTTTGTTATAGTATGTGTCATTGACTATGTAAAATTATGAAAATAAATTCTAGGGATTTGTAAATTAAAGCTCAGGGTTCTTTTTAAAAGTTATGTCATGCTCATATGGGTTGTTATTATTGCTGTTTTGTGCAGTAGAATATGCAGTAGAATATGTACATGTTTATAAAAAGATAAAAATATTTGAAATGTAAATAGCACATTGCACATTTTTTACTATATGAATGAAAAAAGTTGTATAGTTATCATCATGACAAAAATCAACTATTGAAAAATTAAATACAGTCCTAGATTATAGTCTTAATGGTCTAAATTTCTTTCAACAGAATTCTAGCTATAATAATGTATTGAAATGAATATTTTAGATTTGGGGGTTCAAATATGCAAATTTCTCAGGCATTTTAAATCTTTTATATCAAATTGGACAGCTGTAATGGATCAAGGGTTACTTTTTATAGAGATTTCTAATTTTAATTGTTTGAGTGTTTCAGTTTTCTTATAAGCCCATAAAAGTTGCATTACCAATGAACCTTTCTAAATATACCTTTTCAGAACGCGAATGCCAATCTAAACATGAGAAAAAGGACCAATGCTGTGGTTCACTCAGAATCTGAGGCTGGCAGCAGAACTGAGGTGGAAAACCATTCCAGCAAAGCTTCTGTGCTTGTTCAAGGATCTTCTGGAGTCACACAGCAGTCTTCCTTAGCTTCAAGTCCAAACCCATTCAGTCGTGCAAATGCAGATGAAACTATATCTGCTGCAAGAGAACTTCCATCTGCTCTTTCTTCTTCTCCTGGTAGAACTGGGTCTATACCCCAACAAACTTCAGTCAGATCTGCTTCTTCACACCATGTGTTTGGATCAAAACTGGAGCGAATTAAGACCACAGTTAATACCATAGGGGCTTCTGGGAAGTTATCTGCAAACACTCCTCCCCCTGCTCCACCACCTTCAGGATCTGGCACAAGTAAAATAGACAAATATGCCCGCATTCTATTTCCAGTAACATTTGGGGCATTCAATATGGTCTATTGGGTTGTTTACTTATCCAAGGACACTATGGAGAAATCAGAAAGTCTTATGTAATTTTGCTGCTGTAGTACTTTCCTAATAGATTAATGCAGAATGTCTTTTTAAATGTTTTTAACGACAAATAATTACGCTTTACTAAAATAAAAATTCTATGGGATTTCGCACTTTAAAAAATTCAGGAGAGTTGCTGGGAAAGCTAATTAATTGCTTAGTGACAAGAATGTGAGTCATCTTTCATATAAGAAAGGCGATTTAAATAGAATCAATTCAGCTTTCAAATGAGACGGAACACAGACCATCCTGAAAAGTTGGGACAAGAGAAATAAGGCTGCTACATGTACACAGTGCATATTTATGCATTGAAATTTGAAAACAGACGATGACATTTTCAATATATACTATGAATATCAACAAATCATCCTAAATTTCCCAGTGGTACTGCCCTTAATCAGAATTGTTTATTGGATATCATAAGTGGTGAGCTTCTTAGAAATACAAGAAATAAAAAGAATGAAATATTTTTAAAAGGAAAATGTAACAAAGCACATACTGAGCAATAGAGACCTTTGCTGTGTTGAAGAAAAGTAAAATATGTCCGTAATTATGTGATTGCAAATAGGACTTAACCGTTGACTTAAAAAAAATTGTGCTCTTAGCCAAAGTTTAACTAATATGAATTATTTCTGATAGTAGTTCACTCAGTCAGTTATATATTTTCCACAGATAATTATCCATAGATTACCATCTCCTAAGCATTATGACAGATATTGTCTTTCTAGGAAAGCTTTCACCTATATCTACAGTAGTACTTAAACAGTAGAACAGTCAGTGCATGTTAATGAACTATAGACTAGCTGGGAATATTGCATTCTTTACTGGAGGAAATCTATCTAGAATCTGACAACATATTCAAGGTATTTGTTTCTCCTATATTGATAGAGTATATTGTGAACAAGATATCGTTCACATAATTACTTTTGAGATAAGAAAATGGGAGTACAACTTCAGTAATCAACTCTCAAAATATAATGAAAATGTAGTACAGATTGTTCTGTAAATGAAAAGCACAGGATACCTGAAAGTAAAAATCTGGGCACTGCAAGACCTGATAGATTAGCTGTCTCAAATTTGATCAAAATCACAGAACAGAATTAGAATCACAGAATCATTACTTACTCACACAATAGCTTTTAGATGCTTTCTTTAACATAAATCTTTAATGGTTGTTGAAATGCTAACATGAGGGAATTTTTGTGTCTATAGTTCTGCATTTTTTTCTGGGCAGTTTTGTGATTATTTTATTTTATTTTTTGGCTAGCTTGTGTAAAGCTTCATAACTAAGGTGAGTATTTTAAAATTAAAGAAACAAAAGAATGAGCAGAAAAAAATCATAGCCATGGGATAGGATACTGCTGAGTCTGTTATGTAACTTGTTAGGATTTTTATGTATTGATTTTCCTTTTTTTTATTAGGTAGGCATAACAACTTAATTGAATTTCTTGCAGGTGTCTTACACTGTTAAATCTGTCTATTTTTGTGTTGTGTTGCTTCCAGATTTTCCTTCGAATTACTTCCTGAATTAGATTGTGAGAATGAAGTATTTTGAATGTTAAGGGGGGGGTATTTTGATAAAAATGACCACCATGAAAAAAGATAACTTTATTTTTTAGGAAAGAAATGATACTAAATTGGCATTGGGTTTTCAGTTGTTGCATTGCCTTGAAATGGTTGAATATGAGACCTGTAAAATGTGCAAATGCCAAATATTGATTGTGAGTCACATCTGAGAAATCTTTCTTTGCTGTCTAAATATTTCCTAGACTCATCAAAAATTGTAAGGATGAAATACGAATGAGAAATCATCCAGTTCAAACCCTCACTTACAAATTAAGGCCAGTAATAATACGCCAAATAAAATTTGTATATGTGTGCATATTTAATAAAGATTACTTGTACAAAAAACTTATAATAAATTATTTCATGAATGTAAACAGATTTAGAGTCTTGAGATCAATGTTAGAATTGTGGTTGGGAGGGTGGAGAGACAGTACATTGGGTAGGTCACTTACCTTGCATGCTGCTCACTCACATATAATCCGCAGCACTACTTATAGTCCCCCAAACACCAGAAGGAATGACCCCTGAGATCAGAGCCAGAAGTAAACTCTGAAAACAGTCAGGTATGGCTCCCCACAAAAGCAGCAAAAACAAAAACAAAAGAAATTGTAATGAAAGTTATGATTATACTTTATTTTCAAGAAATTACCTTTGAAGAGGAACATACTTCTTACTTCTTAATTAAGTGGGTTTTAAGAAATATTTCACTGGCGTCTTTTTAAAACATTAAACATATTTAATAGATTTAAAGGGATAAAGAATGGTTTAAATTTGTAGATTAGGGACTCACATGAATTTATTATTTCTTTTTTTTTTACTTTTAATATGAAGAACATTTGAAAACAAACTTGGTGGTCAGATGAAGATAATGGAAATTAATCAAGGATTCTTAATTGCTAAATTGAAGAGTACGTTCACAAAATGTATTTATTGTGAACAGAATTTTATTCTAAAAATTCTAATCATTAGTGAAAAAAACTATTTCTTTCAGAATGTAAAGGTCAATAACTTATGCATAGTTAGTTTGCTTAGCTGAATTTTACCAGATTAATTAAGTTAATTTTTGGTCATGACACAGAGGCACAGTAAATGAAACTATTTGATGAAAAAAAGACATTCAAAACCTTTACAAGAATTATTCTAATCTTAGTTATAAGAATCTGTGAAGAATAATTTTGGTTCTAAATGATACCTGTGTATATCTCTTTGTTTTAAAAATGAAATTCAGAATTGTTTTGCTGAGTAACTTAATACAAATTCTAGCTTTCAACTACAGTTTGGCCAACAACTTCTATGTATATGCACTTCCAATTTCCTTCATCATGCTGGGTAAAATATACTTATATGATTAAACCCATATTATAGAATGACCTACTTTTGTGCGTATACATATTACTTTGAATATGTATATTTTAAATTGGATTGCACCAATCTTAAATTAGTAAGCCAACTGTAGAATTACCCTCTGTGATAATAGAAATGAATCATAGACACGCTAATGACAAAGATAAAAGCTTAAGGCTGGAATAAATTTTGAAAGTCCATTTTCCAATCGTCTCTTTTGCAGTGACTGTGCTTCAGTCAATTAGTGGGGAAAAAAAAGAATGTTCTAAATCAATTCTGCTTTGGCATAGAAAAATAAAATACCATTCTCTATTCTCAGTTTTCCATTTGTCTCCTTTGTAGACTTAAGAATAATTCCCTGTGGATGTGCATCAGATGAAGAAATGGGCTACCTGGGGATGGGGTGCCAGTACAGAGTTTAAGGTACTTACCTTCACATGCTCAAGCCTGATCAGACTCTCAGAACTGAATATGGTCACCCAATCACCATCTGACTCATCCCTAAGCAAAGAACGAAAAGTCAAGTTCAGAACACCAATAAGTGTGACCCAAAAACATTAATAAACTTTTTTAAAAGAAAGGAAAAAAAATAAATGGAACACTGGAATTCATGTTCTGACTCTACTATGGTTTTACTTAAAGATTTAGGTTGATTTCTTATTTATAAAAGGGGAGATTAAGTAACTTTAAAATGTATTTCATATTAAATGTAATCAAATATGTGAACTACCTTATAAAATAAAAAAATTTAAAAAAATGTATTTCAATTTTACTCTGGAACAAAATAGATGTCAATGGAAAAATAAATGATTTTGATTTTATTGCTTAATTACTTAAGCTCATGACCTGCCTCAAATTAAAGGTTTTGTTACCTTAAATAAATAATATCTGTTCATGTAGATTTTATATATTCTTTCCCATGAAAGATTTTTATGCATTGAAGAATGTTTCTTTGTAGGAAGAGTGGATTTATTTTTCACTTCTATATGAGTCCAGTGTTGGGTACTGTTAATGTTTGAAAACATATTTGCAAAACTATGCTTTCTTTCAGGATGATACAATCTGGTAATGATGATAAATTTGTTGACAAATAGCTGTGAAGTTCTTAAGTGCTTTATTCATGTAGATGTTTTTGTCTGTAGTGCAGTTTGAGTGAACATTCATCTAGACATAAAATTATTTAGGAACACAAAAAATGTCAATAATCAGGATAAATAAAACCTTGTAAGAATATTTAAAAAATACAAATTCATGCAAAAATATTATGAACCAAATATTAAAAATTTAGATAAATATAGGTAATTATCAGTTTTCCTGTTAGCATTAGGATCTGATATTTTCAGCATAATAATGATATAGGTTGTGAAAAAGGATGCACATAATTTTATAACTTTGTTAATGGATAGAAAAAAATGTAATGAGAGGAGAAGGCTTCAAGATGCTATTGAAATGAATTTTGCTAAAATATTTTAGAGTTTAAATCTCTCTGTCAGGGGTAGAGCAATAGTTCAGTGGGCAAGGCATTTGTTGGACAAATGCTGACTCGGGTTTGATCCCTGATATCCCATATGGTCCCTTGAGCCCATCAGGAATGATCCCTGAGGGCAGAGCAGGAGTAGGCCCCAAGCACAACTTGGTGAGGGCAAAAAATAAGACAAAAAAAATCCCCCAAAATCTCTCTGCCTACTCCCACGAAAGCACAAATTTGGACATCACCTACAATATTAAAATAGATATTTTAGAACTACAGGAGCAAATTTTACAGGGAAGGTGGAATGAATGCAGAAAAGTTGATATTAGAAAAATGAGAGTTTTATATAAATTAAAAAAAAGAGCTAGGGTTTGAGTCTAGATTTTGTAGGTTAATACAATAAAAATGAACATACTGTGCTTCTGTTTTATAGAAATTATCTGATTTCTGTGTGAACTACAGAGTGGGCTGCCCTGAATCTGGAGGTAATAAAATAATCACCTCTAGATACAGAAGTAGAATGTCCCAGTTTTCTCTAACTTCTGATTTTCACTTTTTTAAATATTAATGATATCATTGTAATTTATAAAAATGACAACTGTGTTTAAAAAATAAGTGCCATTGAATAATTTTTAAAATTTCCAAATCCTTTCACCAAGAAATTGTTTACATTTTATGATTATCAGATCAGATAATTTTGTATACACATGCGTTAAATAATTTCATTAAAAGTTGAATTTTTTAGAAGATAATACATTTTTAATTCACCTGTATTAACATGTGAATCCTGTTTAATAATAAATGAAATGTTAAATTTACCTTCCTTTCAATTTGTAATAAAAATATTAGGATAAAACTAAACAAATTTTTAAACTTTGATCATGTTTCATCAAAGCAAGAGATTGGGATACTTTCATTTTAATTAACTTTATGACTTCATTTCAAGAAAGATTTTCCTTACGTCTAACTTTGGCAATAGCACAGTGGTAGGGCGTTTGCCTTGCACGCAGCCAACATGGCCGACCCGAGTTCGATTCCTCTGCCCCTCTTGGAGAGCCCGGCAAGCTACTGAGAGTATCTCGCCCGCAGGGCAGAGCCTGGCAAGCTCCCCGTGATGTATTTGATATGCCAGACACAGTAACAACAAAGTCTCCAATGGAGACGTTACTGGGCCCGCTCGAGCAAATCGATGATCAACGGGAGGACCTTTACCTTTACCTTTACCTTTTAATTTTTAATATCTACAACATTCCTTATAGTCATATCAGAATTTAAATAACTATCAACTTTAATATCTGATTATCAGTGAAATGAATTTTAAGTTGTGTTTGTTCTATTTGCAATCTTTAATGCAGTTATCAGCTTGTTAATTTATACTTTTTCTCATTGTTTTTATTGTATCAAATCCCTTTTTCTTTTTGTGACCCTTTTAACAACCTTTGCATTAAAAATATATCTTTTTTGAATTTTCTTTCACAATTTCTTTTAATATGATCACACTTGAAATTTAGTTGAGACTCTAGAAAGCTATTTTTATAATTTTTTCTTTTATTTTCTGAAAAAAAAACAATTTCTTTGCTGCAAAATTTATTTGCTTTTTTAATGTGAATTTCCCTCATTGCTTATGTTCCCATCTAATTTTTTTCTATTAATCACTGAACATAGCTATTTATTGAAGTATAGTGTGGGAAGTAGTGGGGGAATGAATCAGATGAACCCACAGCATGCATTTATATTAAACCCACCTCCCAAAATCTGTTTTATCTTCTGCTTAACTATCTCATTCCTTTTTAAATTTTTTGATATTTGGGATTGACTTTATGGCTCACAATACAAAACCCAGTCTTTATTTCTTCTGTGCTGCTACTGCTCCAGTGATTAATAAATTATTTTCATTTCCCCCTTCCAGTTTAATTCTCATAGTACTGGGGGTCAGAGCAATAGTAGAGCAGGTAGGACATTTGCCTTGGCGTGGCCGATCCCGTTTGATCCTCAGCATCCCATATAGTTCCCAGAGTATCTCCAGGAGTGAATCCTGAGTGCAGAGCCAGGAGTAACTGAGCATCATCACCTGGTGGTGTGACTCCACAAGGTAACAAAACAAAAACCCTCTCATAGTCAGCAAGCCATTTAGTGTCAATTGTAATCTGATACATTTTTACCTTTTCCCTTTATCTCTGTTTATTTTTCTACTGTTTGGGAATATATAACTGAAATTCTATTAAGATAGTCTTGTGGTTGTTCGTTTGCTTTTATGTGTTGTGCTCTTGGAAGCTCCAGTCTCTGGAGAATGCTTTAGGACATCTCTATTAGCAAAAGCTATGTGCTATAGAAAATTGGTCCCAACTCATTTTCTTTCATTATTAGTGCCAATGTATCCATATTCAAAAGTCATTTGCCATGGTTCCTTGTCACTTACTTATACTTACAGACATTGTTTAAATTTTTCCGCCATTAAAAAAAAATTATTTAGACTATAGTTGATAGGATTTCACGAGAAAATAAAATTATAAATGCCTTTGTTTACTGATGTTATTTTATCATCTTAAATTGATCTCCAATT